TATAATATTTAGCTGTAATAATCTTAATCTGAATATCTGACACCTTTAGGAATTCTAGATATGTGACTTCTGTTTTTGGATACCATTGGTGTATTCCTTAAAAACCAAACAGAGTGATAGTGCAGTGGGTAGGACATTTTCCTTGCATGCAGCCCAGCCGGGTTTAATCCCCCCGCATCCCATATGGTACCCTGAGCCTGCCAGGACTGATCCTTGAGCCCAGTTCCGGAAGTAACCTCTGAGCGCCACTGGGTATGGCTCAAACACAAAACAAGACAAAAATACCCCCATTATTTATTTTTTTTCTAACAATGACTGTGCTGTGTGTGTGGCAGGAGTGTGTGTGTGTGTGTGTGTGTGTGTGTGTGTATGTTTTAATTTGTGTCTACTTCAGCTCTCACTGCCCACAGGAATCATTCTCTTGCAAATTGTTCTAGAGTTTAATTAGTTTTCTGGATTAACTAAGCTCCTGTCTTTCATTGTTTTATTAAGAACTGATACAAGTGAGGAGGCCCATGTCATCTTCCTTTATTCTGTGCTATTACCATGCTTTTGAGGGAGGAGATTTCTGGGTTGTTTTTTTGTTTTGTTTTGTTTTGTTTTTTGGTAGGAAGAAGGGTTGTAATCCCCCAGCTGTACTTGGGGATTACCTGGCTCTGCTCCTCAGAAATCACTCCTGATGTGATCAGGGGACCATATTGAGTGCCAGAGATCAAACCCAAGTCTGCTGTGTATAAGGCAAGTGCCCTATCTGCTATGTTATCTTTCTGGCTCCAGAAAGAAGACATTTTTAGAAATGGCCTCTTGTCTATTACAAACATCAATTCTTTGCTCATAAGAAGCAGGTCTGACAACAAGGCCTGGTCCTTGATGCTATAGTTTTGTTTCTTTATTTGGTGATCCAAGTTCACTACATTTTTTCTGCTTTAGCAGGACTCAAGCAGCAGATACGCTACTTTTTAGGTTCTTCACCTCTCCCATGGACAAGAAATATTTGTAACATTTCTCATGAAGGCAGCAACCTTCTGCATATAAAATCCCCTGGCCTACCTTGTTGGGTGACATTGTACATCATAGTTTATGGACAGCACTACGCCATCTTATCAGTAAAGAGAGTTTTCTCTCCTGATGGTGGCCAAATAGTGAATTACAGTGTCTACACTATCTTTTCAGAAAGCTACTTAGAGTTGTGTTGGGAAGTTTGGGGATCTCAAGCAGACAAAGTCTTCTCAGGAGCCTGCCAAGGAGCTAGGAAATTTCTTTTACTATAGGAGTCAGGGTGTTCTCTGGCAATTAGGGATAAGGATGCCTCTCCCTTCAGGGGTCCTTCCATATCATGTGGGATTTCATGTGTGATCTTTATTATGCGCTTTAACAAATGATACTGCGAATGTGTACATATCTGTCTTATTCACTTGTCAGCTGGTTCTTGAGATATCTGATCCCTCTTCCGTGCACTCTCTCAGCACTAGCAAGTGCCTCCCTTTAGGGTCAGTGACTGCTGAAGCTTCAGCAGTGAACAGATGTAGTCACAAATGAGTTAATGAGTGGAGAATCAGAGGTCTCACAGCAGCTTGGAAGGACAGGCTCTGCATCTGTATGAAATCTGAAGTGATTTGGGCAGTAGCCATAGCTACATGGGTCAGAACCTGAGCTCCTGTGATTTCTAAAGCCCAGCGTTTGTTCCTCTGCCTGTTTCCATGGTATTGTCATTAGCGCTCTCTCCATGAAACATGAACCAGAGAGAGACACCACAAACACAGGCAATGAGGAGCAAATGAGAAAGAGGTTAGGGAACAGTGAGGAAGTGAAAATACACCTACATTCTCTGCATGGTGCTCTTTGACACTGAATGTGAGATGAGACCCCGTTATAGTATTACCCTAGTGTAGAGGTCAAAAATATTTTCTGCAAAGGATCAAATAACAAACATTTGTGGCTATGTGTGTCACCTCGGCTTCACTGCAGTTATTCATATCTGCTACTGTAACACAAAAGCAGCCAGGACAATGTATGAACAAATAGTTGTGGCTGTGTGTCAATAAAACTTTATTGAAGAAACAAGCCATGGGTTAGATTTAGCTCGTGAACCCTAATTTGTCAGCTCCTCCTAGAAGCTTTTTCATGTTTGTTTGGGGTTTTTGTGTTGTTTTTTTGTGGTTTTTTTTTTTTTGGTAGGGGTATATTTTGGTCATACCCAGTGGTACTGTGCTTGGGGATTGTTCCTGAAAGGATTGGGGACCAGTCAGTGCCAAGGATCTAACCAGGGTTGGCCACATCCAAGGCAAATGCCTTAAATTCTGAACTAGGTCTTCAAACCCTCTCATGTTCTTTGAGAATTATTATTATTAATTAGAATGTATACATTTACCTGATATTCTTATTTCCTCTTGCTATGTCTAATAAGAGGCTGACTTATTTCATGGACGGGAGTGATAATACAGGTGTTAAGCCACTTGCCTTGCCAGTGGCTGACCTGAGTTCAATACCCGGAATTGTGTATGGTCCCCTGAGCACTGCCAGGAGTTGTCTCTGAGCTTAAAGCCCAGAGTAAGCCCTGGATACTTCCAGGTTTGGCATAAAAACAAACAGACAAATAAAACTTGACTTATTTATTTGGTGGAGGTCACTCAGTGGTGCTAGTGATCTAGCTGCTCCAGTCTCTGTGATCAGGGGTTACTCCTGCCAGTGTTAGGGGCACTATATGTGGTGCCAAAGGATGAATGGGGGTCAGTCTCATGGAAGGTAAGTCCCTTATTCCCTTTACCATCTCTCTACACAAGCTGATTTATTTTAAAAAGCCAGACAATTTTCCCAAGATCATTTTAAAGAGTGTGTTTTGTTGGGGATAGAGGGAGGGAGACCATGTGTGCATAAAACACAGCTACTTGGAAAAAGTTTTCTCTTGGTTCCAGTCAGTCTGTTCTGTGCCCCAGTCCTCCCCTGCTCCTGACAGCCTGTCCTGCACAGTCAGGATCATGCCCCTCAGATGATTCCATAGTCTTGGGGTCCCTCCTGGCATTGATGCTTAGTGACTGGCAGGTCTGCCCCTGCACACTTCTCTTCTTCATGCCTCAGCTTTGATGTTCAGACTGAGTTTGCAGCTGATCATTGCTGGGAAATTTGGGAGAGCCCTTTATCTTCCAGCAGAGGCAACTGAGTGAAACCTGCATTTGCAGCCTTTAGCAGGCTGCCCCCTCTTTCACCTTCCGTACCAAGCCTATTGTCTTTGTGCCATGTAAAGGATCATCAGAAGGCTGAAAAACAAAGGCTTTATAGCCATCACTTTTCACTCCCATGCGGATATATTTTAGAGTCTGGAGAGGCCCTTGTGAAGGAGTCTTGCTAGCAATTTTACTGACTTTCCATAAGAGAGCTAAAACGCTGGTTGCCAAGCAACACATATGCCCTGGCTTCTTCCCCAATGTGGACTTTTAAAAAAATGTGTCCTATGATTGACTTATGAATAGGAAATCATGTGGGAATACACAGGGCAAAACAGGTTGATGTAACAATATTATATCCTTTCCCCCTCATCTTTGATATCTTTTCCAAAAGGCGTATACATGGAAAAATAAGTAAGGTGTGACTTTAGCAGTATGCAACTGACTAAAAGATGTATTATTACTAGGAATTTCACCTTCAGGCGCTAATCACATCTCAAAGGCCCCACCTCCAGTTACTGCCCAGCATTGAGATTAGGTCTCAGCATATGGATTTAGGGATGACATAAATATTCAGTCCCTTGCTCTCTTCTTCCACCACTTTCATCACTAATTATTGGCTGGAAGGAAAACCTTGATATTAAGTTGTCCTGGAACTGAGTCACAGTGAGTCCTGTATCCTCAAACTGACACCTTAATTGATCCCAGATAGAGAAGGAAAACTATTGCTCTTACCCCAAAATCACATATGAAATTGTCTTACCTTCTGCAAGGACTAACCTCTGCTGACAATGACTTGTGTCTCATGCTGAGCCCTTGGACTTGGTGCATCGTTTACCAGAGAGGGCTTCTAGGGGCAGCTGACCACCTAATGGAGAAGTGGACATGCAAGCAAAGCCCTCTCGCCTAGCGTTCTGTCTGCCATACTAGGGAAATGAACACAGCGCATGGGAAATCGCCTGCTTCTTCCTGAACGATCAGGCTCCCAAGCTGGTGTGACATTTGGCAGCAGTTGAGAGGATAAATGTGGACAATGACATAAGCAGGAACCTTTCTAAAAAGCAAGACAGGAAGAATGCCGCTACAAGCATAGGGATGGAAAAACATGAGCCATTTATCCCGAGGGCCCCATATAACACTTCCAAGTGCCTCAGAGGAGGTTTTTCTAGAAAGTTCTTTTTGTTGCTAATGAGTAAATGCTTGCCCCCATGCTTGCATTTGTCCAATTATAATCAGCAATGTGAATATCTTTTGCTTTATGACTATGGTGTGCAAAAATGAGTTAAGAGGCAATGCTGATAAAGTGTTCGCAACTCCTTGCCAAAAGAAACTTTGCATGCATGATAAGCTCTCAGATCTTCAGTACAAATTCCTGGCCGAAGAAGTACTTTTTAGTTGCAGGAATTGCCATGTATGTAGAAACTCCCAGAGAAGGGCTTTGTGTGCAGACGGCATGCCGAATCACCAGTCACAAAGCCCTCTCTGGATCCCTTCCTCTCGTTTCTGTTACCAGGTCTCATTATGTGCGATGTCATATGCACGCACACAGACACATAGGAATACTCCATCGCAGCCAGCGCAGAAGTGCCAAGGGAGGTGTTTTGCATGAATTCCATCTTTGGGGTTAGAAGCACTTGCTCAGCTGCCAACTACAAATAGCTCCATGCTAGAAAATGATGTTAATTAGCATGCCATTAAAAAAATGGAAGAAGGAAAAAAATAATAAGTCCAGCACTGCCCACCACAAAAATGGCACCTAGAGGCCTGAAGTCCTACTCTGACAGCCAAAGTGCAGCATGGCCCACTAATGCAGCCTTAATTCACTTTGTGTGGCAGGGAGAGCAAGCTCACCATGCTGCTGCGGGAGTCCCTGGGGAACATGAACTGCCGCACCACCATGATCGCTCACATCTCAGCCGCTGCCGGCAACTACGCAGAAACCCTGTCCACCATCCAGATTGCCTCAAGAGTCCTCAGGATGAAGAAAAAGAAAACGAAGGTAAGAAGCTAATCCGGGAGACCATGAAAGAAGGGGCAGTAGCAGCCCTGCCCGGGACTGAGTCCGGGGAAGACCAGCCAGAAACTGAGTCCAGGGAGACCAGCCAATGTTTCTGTTCCCCGAGTGCCAGGGTCAGGACTGGAAGTAGCTTCTGAGGAGCTGGGGAGAGAGGGAGGCTTTGCTCTGGGGTGGGAATCCCCTCAGGAAAATGGAGAAGCAGTTTCTTCTGCTCCCACAGTGGGGGGGATTTCCCTGCTCATCCAGCTCAGACCCCTCCACTGGAAGCTCCTGACTCATTTTAGTGAGTGGGTTGTTACTTTGAAACTCTTTTGATTTGTTTCGATTTGGGGGCCATATGCCCTTATGCTCAGGGCTTACTCCTGCATCTATGCAGGGATCTCTCCTGGTGGTGCTTAAGGGACCGTATGCAGTGCTGGAAATAGAATGAGCATTAGTTGCAAGCAAGGCAAGTGCCTTAACTCCTGTATTATCTCTCTGATCCTTGGGCTGTTGCTTTGAAATGAAAAAACTGGTGTGTGGGGGGTGGGGTGGATGGGGGGCGGTGCGGTAGAGAGATAATATAAGGCTGAGGTATATGCCCTGTATGTGGCTGACCTGGGTTCTGTTCCTAGTACCACATGGTCCTCTGAGCACCACCAGACATGACCCTGGATCACTACAGGGGTGATCTGGATAACCCCCAACACTGCAGGCCCCTCACAGTACTGAATTCTCAGGCCCTCTGGTCCCTCGTTGGTTGGTCAAGAATTGTGAGGAGGGATACCCTGATCTCTGCATCATCATTACAGATACTCCTCCACCCCGAGTCCCATAAAAAAATAATTGGAAGCATGATAAATAATTACAGTTCATCTCTTACCTGCCTTGGTTCCCTTCAACTAGCTGACCTCAAGGAGGTCACTTGGGTTTCCCTGAAATGACTTTATTACCCCTCTTTTCCCAGAAGATTTTTTTTAACACCACATAAATTCAGTAGTTTCTGGGTGATGCTGAGCATCACCCCAGGACCTGTCCCTACACCCACACATCACCAGCTTCCATTCTCAAGAACAAGCGGTGACATTCCAAGAACATCTGAGCAAAGCACTTTGGTTGGGGTCACTGACCACTGACACTGGTTCTGTGTGGGCCTCCCTCCACACTTGGAGTATATCTTTTTGTTGTGGGAATCGGGGCTTTCCAACTAGTCTCTGTGACAGGGGTATCACAAATAGCTTGGGAATGCATGACCCACTCCAGCCCCTTAGGAGCTCAGAGGACCTGGGATGGTCACTTCGCTTCCTGAGCAGCCTTGGTTCCTCCAGAGGGTCTCTAGAGGTGTGCTTAATCTACGAGGCTGTTAGGGAGAAAACTGGGGCACAGAGGCAGGGAGGCCACCCAGGATGGTCTGGCAGCCTGTCTTCAGGTTCGTGGCCTGTGCCACTCCCCGCATGATGTCAGACTGTCTGGGAAGGCTGGGGCAGAAAAGCGGCTCCTGCTAACGGGTCTCTCTCATTCATAGTACACATCGAGCTCTTCCGGGGGTGAGAGCTCCTGTGAAGAAGGCCGGATGCGCAGGCCCACTCAGCTGCGGCCCTTCCAAGCCCGGACGGCCATGGACTCGGACTTCCCCATCGCTCACCTTTCCAGTGACCCCGACTACTCCTCTAGCAGTGAGCAGTCCTGCGACACAGTCATCTACATTGGGCCGAACGGCACCGCCCTCTCTGACAAGGAGCTCACTGACAACGAGGGGCCCCCAGACTTTGTCCCCATTGTGCCAGCCCTGCAGAAGACCAGGGGTGACAGCCGGCCCCCAGAGACTGGGGAGGCCGTGGCCAGCAAAGCCGAAAGGGACTGCTTGAAATGCAACACGTTTGCAGAGCTCCAAGAGAGGCTGGATTGCATTGACGGCAGCGAAGAGCCCAGTAAATTCCATTTCGAAGAGCTGCCCACACAGTTTGGGGCAGAGACAGCCAGCAAGGGTTCCCCGGTGAGCCAAGCTGTAGCAGGGCTCTGCGAATCTGAGAAGGAAGACATTGGGACTGAGTCCGAGAGCCAAATGGCCCGTAGAGAAGGTGCCGAGCCTCTCATCTCCAAGACGCAGAGGAACCACTCGCCCATCCCCACAGCCACGCTACCCCACAGCCCCAGCCCCGCCTCGCCCAGGAGCATCCCAGGCAGCAGCAGCCAGCACAGTTCCCAACTGGCACAGAGCCCCAGCCTCCAGAGCAGCCGAGAGAGCCTCAACTCCTGTGGCTTTGTGGAAGGCAAGCCCCGGCCCATGGGCTCCCCCCGCCTGGGCATCGCCAGCCTCTCCAAGACCTCAGAGTACAAACCAGCCAGCTCTCCTTCACAGAGATGCAAAGTCTACACCCAGAAGGGCATCCTGCCTGCTCTGGCCCCACTGCCACCCTTGAGCAAGGACTCCCGCATGGTCTCCAGCGAGTCCCTGCTGCAGCCTGAGATCCGCACGCCCCCCGTGGGCATGAGCCCCCAGGTGCTGAAGAAATCTATGTCTGCTGGGAGCGAAGGGTTTGCCCACAGCCCTGGCGATGAGGAGACTCAGGCAGCCATGTCCCCAGAGGCCAAGAAGGAAATTCTAAGCACCACGATGGTGACTGTGCAGCAGCCACTGGAACTGAACGGGGAGGATGAGCTGGTATTCACGTTGGTGGAGGAGCTGACCATCAGCGGTGTCCTGGATAGTGGCCGCCCCACCAGCATCATCAGTTTCAACAGTGACTGCTCTGTGCAGGCCCTGGCCTCTGGCTCTCGGCCCGTCAGCATCATCGGCAGCATCAGCGAGGACCTGGAGTGCTACTCCAACATGGCTCCTGTCTCCGAGGTCAGCATCACACAATTCTTGCCTCTCCCGAAGCTGAGCCTGGATGACAAGGGCCGTGAGGCCGGGAGCCGACGCTCCTCCATCAGCTCCTGGCTGAGTGAGATGAGCACGGGCAGTGACGGTGAGCAGTCGTGTCACAGTTTCATTGCCCAGACCTGCTTTGGGCATGGGGAAGCCATGGCAGACCCTCCAGCCTCCGAGGTGGTGGGTGGCCTCCAGAACACAGCTGTGTGCAAAGAAAAGCCCAAGGCCTGCCCTGACAATTTGCTCATCTTGTCTGAAGTGGGGGAGGAGTCCTTCAACAAAGCACCCCCCATCAAAGGCTGTAAGATCTCCACGCTGGGTAAAGCCATGGTCACCATCTCCAACACAGCCAGCCTGAGCAGCTGTGAAGGGTACATCCCCATGCAGACCAACATCACGGTGTACCCCTGCATTGCCATGAGCCCCCGGAACGTCCAAGAGGCCGAGGCGGCCGTGGCCAGCGTCAGCTCAGCCCCCAAAGCAGCCCAAGCCCAGGAGAGCAAGGAAACCAATACCAAGAGAGAGATGAAATTTGAGGACCCCTGGCTGAAACGGGAAGAAGAGGTGAAAAAAGAGAATACACATCCCGGTGAAGAAGGGGGTAGGTCTGAGACTACCTCCAGCTCCCCAAAGCCTGAGACCAGGACGGAACAGGAGCAGGACCGGAAGACCAGCTCTGGGGAGCGACTGAGCAGTGAGGTGTCTGCCTCTCCACTCAATGACAGCTTCAGGAGGGTCGCAGATGGCTGTGAGATGGCCCTGCCCAGCGTGACTGCCCAGAGCCCTGCATATCCCGGCAGAAACCTGAAGTCCAGCAGCCTTCCACGGGCTTTCCAGAAAGGCAGCCGACAGGAGGAGCTGGACAGCCTCTTCTACCACTGTGCCGCGGACAGCAACGGCCTGGGCACCCAGGCCTCCAAGGCAGCACTGGAGAGAAAGGTGGCATCTCCCAAGCATTGTGTTCTCGCTCGGCCCAAAGGGATCCCACCCCTACCCCCGGTCCGGAAGTCCAGCTTGGACCAGAAGAACCGAGCCAGCCCGCAACACAGTGCTTGCAGCAGCAGCACCAGCAGCCCCTTGAACCAGCCAGTGCCCTTCTTGGCCGGTTTCCCGGATGAGTCCGGCAGCAAGATGAAGGATGCCAGCAGCAGCAGCAAGCTCTTCAGCGCCAAACTGGAGCAGCTGGCCAGCAGGACCAACTCCCTGGGTAGGACCACAGTCAGCCACTACGAATGCCTCTCGCTGGAACGAGCCGAGAGCCTGTCCTCCATGAGTTCGCGGCTGCATGCCAGCAAGGACAGCACCATGCCCCGCGTGGGCCGGAGCCTGGGCCGCAGTGCAGGGGCCTCGCCCACTAACCCCAGCCCCTCTCCGTGTCCCGGGGCCTCACCCAAGGCCAGCCAGTCCAAGATCTCGGCGGTGAGCAAGCTCCTCCTGGCCAGCCCCAAAGCGCGCAGCCTGTCCACTTCCACCACCAAAACCCTCAGCTTCTCCACCAAGTCGCTGCCGCAGTCGGTGGGCCAGAGCTCCAACCTGCCGCCCAGTGGGAAGCACATGTCCTGGTCCACGCAGTCCTTGAGCCGCACTCGCGGCTCCGGCCTGACGTCCAAGCTGCCGCTCCGCGCCGTCAACGGGCGCATCTCGGAGCTGCTGCAGGGCAGCGCCGGGCCCCGGGGCCTGCAGCTGCGGGCCGGGCCCGAGGCCGATGAGCGCGGTGCGGCCCCCGACGACAAGCCGCCCGCGCACCTGCTGCCCTCCCCCTACAGCAAGATCACACCGCCGCGCAAGCCGCATCGCTGCAGCAGCGGCCACGGCAGCGACAACAGCAGCGTGCTCAGCGGGGAGCTGCCCCCGGCCATGGGCAAGACCGCGCTCTTCTACCACAGCGGCGGCAGCAGCGGCTACGAGAGCATGATGCGCGACAGCGAGGCCACCGGCAGCGCCTCCTCCGCGCAGGACTCCATGAGCGAGAACAGCAGCTCCGTCAGCGGCAGGTGCCGGAGCCTCAAAACCCCAAAGAAACGCTCCAATTCAGGTAGGCGTCTGGGCCCCGGGATACCAGGAGGGTCAGGGTCCCCCCCCCCCCGTCACTCTGCTGGCCTTGCTGGTGGTGAGGGGCATCCAGGCCTCAGGGTCTTGACCCTTTGCCAGCAGGCCTCAGCAGAACCGTGGAGGGGTGTCGGGGTCCAAAGTGGCTTTGTCGGGGCTGGAGCAATAATACAGCGGGGAGGGCGTTTGCCTTGCTCGCGGCTGACCGGGGTTCGATTCCCAGCATCCCAGGAGTAGTTTCTGAGTGCAGAGCCAGAAGTAACCCCTGTGCATCACTGGGTGTGACCCAAAAAGCAAAATAAATGAATAAATAAAATTTAAAAAGTGGCTTGGTCTTGCCAAAGCTGCAGAAGTCCTTCAGCCATGCCTCAGGGGCAGAGACAGGACACTGCAGACACAGAACCCTCAGGCCCCCCACCAGTACCTGAGATGATGCCCCTCCCTCACCCGCCAGCCCCCAGCACATGCACATGTACTGTGATGCCAGAAATGTTTGGTTTAGGAGAATGTCTGCCTTTTAGCAGTATTTCCTATCAGAAGGTATGATCGCCTATCGTACTCCAGAGTGTGAAAGCTTATTCACTGGAGTTCTGTGTGAATGGGATGGTTATGAAGAGAAGAGGACCCAGGTAGCCACGAGATGAGGGAGGTGAAAGGGTAATAACAAAAAAGAGAGGAGATACTCAAAGCAAAAGGAACAAATCACACTTTAGCTACTTGATAATTTTACCCAATTCCTCTTTGCTCTTAAGTAGCTTCCAAAGAAATTGCCCATTCTGCTCAGCTGGCATAAGGAGTCATCTGATGAATAAAGCAATCTCTGTAGAGCCCTTGATACAATTTTGTGCTTCACTAGAGTGAGGGAGGGAAGCTCAGCTCTTGCCTTCTGGTTTGTTCTTGGCCATACTAAGACCTTTCCCCAGAACTTCAGGCTCTTCGAGAGCTGTCATAAACCATTGCCCAACAAACTATTGGCACCACCAGCATATTTGGAATTGAAAGATGGGGTAAATTAGGGCCTCCCCTTTCTATGGTTCTAGTAACTGCTCCATAGATGTTTTCTCCACCATCTCTTTCATTCTCCATCACAGACAAGCTCTAGCTCCAGAATAGTCTAATCCACACATAAATGCTGTGGTCAGCACAAATCATAACCATTTGCTTCCTGTCAAACAAATCAACCTTAAAGACTGTGCAGTTAAGTCATGCTTTTAGATGTTGTGATATTGATAGCACAACAGAAAACGTTCACAAAAGAAATGTTATGAGGATGTTACACTTTAAGCATGCTTGGGCGTCATCGTGGCTGTCAGAGCCTTGATGTCTTTATTCCCCATGTGGTATGTGCTGTAGGCTTTGATCCACTTTGACATGTGTCACCTCAGCCCCCACTCCTCAGAGTCTTAAGAACGATCCTCAGGGCAAAACCCTGTGAGAATGAGTGGAGAACAAAAGCATGACAGCTGTTATGGCCTATTATCAGGACCAAGAGCATTAAAATGCATAGATACTGTTACTAAAATATTATAAGAATGTTGGTAGATGTCAGAACCTTTGTGGAAAAAGATATCTCTTGTTCTTCTCACTATTTGATGAACTTTATAGCTACCATCTTCCTCTTCTTGAACTTCAAGGTCTGTCTTGTTGTGTGGTAGTATTTCTCCATAGCCACATATGTTGGGCCTTCCACAACCCCTAATTTCATGCCTTGAATCCATCAGCCCATTTTGTTCTTTTGTAATCTTTTCCTCTTTCTTAAGATTTGTCATTTTTGGCTTAGCTATGACACTAAAACAATAAGTTTTAGGAGAGAGGCCAGCTGACCAATATGTCCTTGCCCCACATATCTTGTCAAATATGCGTTCTCTCAGTTTCTCTGGTTAGGTGAGGCAATTGGAGGGAAATGATGGAACATAAGAACACCAGGCCAAAGTTTCATAGTGAGTGCCAGAACACTAGCCTGCTGCAAGTTGCTGTGGGACAGAGAACAAGGCTCCATTACGGATATGGCAGAGCGATCTAAGCCTTTCAGGTTAGGTGAGCTTGTCTTGCTTATTTATGGTTATTATTAAGAGAAATCCTAGTTGTCAGACATGATCAGCATAAATCAAAATAGCTTCCTTTAAAGAAGCCATAAAACTCCTCCAAGGAAATTCCTAGCTAGATGGTTGAATTTTACAATTACATGAAATGTTTGGAACTGCTGGGGAGATGGGCCAAGTTATCGGGGATGGATTTTGAATCTGGGGAATTTTAATACTTTGGTTCTTTTTGTAGTAAAACTGCAATGGAAATATATTACTTAGAATCACCTGAGCATTCAGAGTGTTATGTAGTCCCTGTAGAGACAACTGAACATCACTACAGTGCACAGAACAGGCACATTCCTGCTGGTCCATGAGGGCACAGAACTGACTTGACTGTGTGACCGTTAGGGAACAACTTTCATCTTTGGCTTCACTTTTCTCATATGAAAGTAAAATGAAGGGGGATTGGTAGAGAACCATCATTTTCTCATGACTCTCATGGTATGAGATGATGCAAATAAGAAAAACTATTGTTGATATTATGGTTTCTTTTCCATAGGAAAAGCCAGTGGGATTTACATGGATTTGTAATAATTAAGTGTTGCCCAAGCATCTTCTTTGCTTTTTGAGCTTGGTGCTGTGGAAGTTTTAGTGTGGTGGAGTAGAGACAGCAGCAGTGCCCAACGAAGTCACTGTAAGAGGTCTGTGCTCTCTGGGGAAAGAAAGAGGCAAGTGTGGTAAAAAAAAAAAAAATGAAACCAGGCGTATTGCCAAATACTGAGTGGTATAGTGTGGCATAAGTGTAGGAAGCAAAGAGCATTCCACAGCAACAGAAAGCTGCTCCATGGGATTCAGTGAGGCCCTGAGTGCTTAGGAAGCAGGTGGAAGGCATCATTGGCAGGGGTGGAAATGGGTGAGTGGAGCCTAGTCATAGGGGAGTGTGGCGTCTGTGGGAGACTAAGATGATCTCAACACAGGAGATATTCTCATGGATGTAATAGATGGTAAAAAGTGTAATCCAGATCAAGTTATACCTTAAATATCAGGCAATGGTAATAAGAATTATTACAGTTGGGAATAGAAAGTCATGACAAGTTCTTGATAAGGTGAAAGAAGCAGAAACTTGCCTTTATTGGGGGGATCTCATTGATTCATTCATGGTCCTTGCCAACTTCTTTATGGCCATCAACCCAAATAAAGCCTGACTGGAAATTAGGGTGATGACGGGAAGTTCAAATGGGTCACATATGTCTGCCTGAGTTTGGACACATTTAGTTACTGTTACTAAGAGGATAATGACTATTGATAAAACAGGTCCAGTTGGTTTGAGCCCTGGACCCATCCCGAGCCCCTAGTCCTTTCACTGACAGCTTTCGTATCCCCTATCATAGGACACATACTGTAGTATGCTTTCTGTCTTTTTTGAGTCTCTTATATGGTATATTAGCCCCTGAACTTCCTTCTCTCTCTTCCTTGGGGAAGTGCAATTTAGAGCAGTTGGTTGGTCTGAATGAAGTTCGGTCAGGTGTGGTGTTATCAGCAACCAAAACCCCCAGGAGGCAGTCAGCCTGGGGGCATGGCCAGTTCTGGGATTGACAACCAGGATTTGGCCATCCGAGAAGGAGCTCCCACAAAGCTTGTTATACACAGGCCTCACTTACCTATCACTGAGCTGGAACAAGTTACCATGAACTAGTTAGATGCCATTGGTTTTTACCCTGATACACAAATCATATGATAATCTCAATGGTAAGAATAGCATTTAACAAATCAATCTACATTTAAATCTGCCAACAAAGTGCATATAGAGGGAAAATATCTCTAGTACTAAAGATTGTATATGACAAGGCTATAGCTCACATCACGAAATTGATGGTGAAAAATGGAAAGGTCTTCCTCTAAAAGCAGGAATAAGACTGATTCTTACACTAATTCAGCACAGTATTGGAAGACCTTCCCAGAGCAACTGGACAAGGAAAATGAATAAGTATTCACAATTGGACAGAAGAAGAAAACTGTCATTATTTTCTCATGACATAATTATTTTAGATCTGGAAAGCCAGAGAAATGCGCATGCACACACATACACAAAGCAGAAAAACAACAAAAGTTATATTTAATAAACTAATTCAGAAATATTTCAAAGTACAAAATAACACATACATAAATCATAGAATTTCTAAGTACTAGCAATAGGAAAGAGATTTTTTTGGGAAAAAATTCATTTAAAACAGCATCATAATGAATGTATAGGAATAAATAGAGGTTAAACTATTAGATATTGAAACTAGAAATTGAAAGGAACTCAAAGAAGTAGAAAGATGCTCAGTGCTCATAAACTGAGTATTAAACATTGTTAAAATGTCATACAGGTCCAATGCAGTTGTCACCAAATTTTCAATGAAATTTTTTCAGGAATAGTACCCTCTAATCCTAAATTATGTAAGGAACACCCCATAAAACACAATTGTGTCTAGTAAGGATAAAAAATAATTCACAATGATTTATTAAAAAATAATAGCGATAGCAGGGCTGGAGCAGTAGCACAGCGGTAGGGCGTTTGCCTTGCACGCAGCCAACATGGCTGACCCGAGTTTGATTCCTCCGCCCCTCTCGGAGAGCCCCGGCAAACTACCGAGAGTATCTCGCCCGCACGGCAGAGCCTGGCAAGCTCCCTGTGACGCATTCGATATGCCAAACACAGTAACAACAAAGTCTCCAATGGAGACATTACTGGGCCCGCTCGAGCAAATCGATGATCAATGGGAGGGCCTTTACTTTACTTTACTTTAATAATTAAAATTTTAAAAATTATTTCCAATTTCTATGCAACAAAACTTGATTCCTGAGCCAGGAAGGCAGCACAATAGGTAAGGCATTTGCCTTGCATGCTACTGAACCAAGTCCAATCCCTAATACCCCAAATGGTCCCCCAAATCACTATGAGTGATCCCTGGACACAGAGCCATGAGTTAGTCCTGAACAAATGAACAAAGTCAGGTGTGGCCCCAAAAACAAACAATCAAAAAGTTAGAACCAAATCCCTTAATTCCTCTGGACAAGAGTAGCATATAGAGTGTAGACACCCTCAATTATCAGGGTACAGGAGTTACTTGGGCCACATAATCTGTATTTGTTTGTTTTAAATAATATTAATGTTTTAGGCTTACAACACTATTGAATCACAACCACCATCACACTGTCAATATTCCTTCCCCACTGTCCTCGGTCCCTTCTTGTCCTACACACTGCCTACCCCACTGTCCTCGTTGGCAGCTCCAATTCTGTAGTCGAAATCTGAGTGTTAGTTTTCACTGGCCACTGTCTATTCCCTTGCTTTGTTTCTTTGTACTTCACAAATGAGTGAGATGACTTGATGTGGTTTTTTTCTCCATCTGATTCACTTTGTTAGCATGATACCATCCAGTTTCATCCAAGTTATAGCAAAATACAAGATCTCATCTTTGCTTATAGTTGAGCAGTATCCCATTTTATATATGCCACAATTTCTTTCACCGTCTGTCACTGAGGATTTTTATGGTTTTCAGATCTTGGCTATTGTAAATAGCCCTGCAGTTAACATAGCTGTGCATTTTTCTTTGTGAATGTTTTCATGTTCTTGGGAAAAAATCTAAGGAGTGGAACAGCTAGGATAGAGAATTCTCCGTGTTGTTTTCCACAGAGGCTGAGCCAGACGACACAGCTACCAACAGTGAGAGAGTGTTCCTTTATTCACCTCAATCATGTCAGAACTGGTCATTTTTTATATAGCTCATTGTCATTTTTTATTTGCATTTCCTTGATAAACAGTGATAGTGAACATTTTTTATATGCCTGTTGTACCTCTGTATGTCTGTCTTTTTTGAGAAAGTATCTGTTCCTCACCTCCATTTTTTTATGGAATGATTTGTTGTTGAGCTTTTTGAGTGCTTTATGCATCTTGGATATTAGCTCATTGTCAGATGTATGATGTATAAATATTTACCCCCTTCAGTAAGTTTCTCTTTATTTTAGTCATTTTTAACAGTTCAGGAACTTTACTTTTATGTTGTGTCATTTGTTTATTTTTGCTTTTTAATTATTTGGCAATGGGTGTAATCATTAAAGCCATTTCTAAGATTAATATTATGGAAAGTTCTTCCAATGCTTTTATTTATTTCTTTTATGGATTTGGGTCTAATATTGTGGTCATAAATTCATTTGAAATTAACTTTTGAATACGGTGTGAGATAATAATCTAGTTTCTTTTTTATTTTGTTTCATTTTTTAATTTTATGTATGGAAATATAGTTTTCCCAACACTATTTGTTGAAAACATTCTCTTTGCTCCACATAATTCATCTAGCTCCATTGTCATCAGTTAACTGTTTAGATGTGAAGTTGACAGCGTGAGGACCTCTGGTCTATAAGTTCTGTTCCATTGGCCTGAGAGTTTATATTTATCCCAGTACTACAATTTTGGGTATTTTAATTTATAATATAGTTTAGAATCAGGGAATGGGATGCCTCCTATCTTACTTTTTCTCATAGTTTTTCTGGTTATTCAGGGAGTTTTTGTAGGGATCATATTCAATCTGTATAGGGCATCCTGCTTTGGATAGGATGGTCATTTTAGCAATGTTAATTCTTCCGATGCTTGGTTATGGAGTATGTCTTCGTGTCCCTATATCTTCTTTTACTTCTTTTAATAGTAATTAGAATTTTTCATAATTAAGCATATCACCACCTTTGTTAATTGATTCTTAGGTATTTGGATTTTTGTACACAAATGTAAATGAAATTTTAAAAACTATTTCTCTTGTACACCATTGTTTCATGTAAAACTGCAACTTACTTCTGCATATTGATTTTGTAGTCTTTCACTTTGTTGTATAGTCTTGTTGTTTCGAAGAGTTTTAGGTGGAGTCTTTAGAGTTTTCTATGTATCATGTTATCTCAGCTGCAGGACATGGGATGCTTTGTAGGGACAGTTAACTGTGCTTACAGTATCCCTTGTGAGGAGAAGGACCAACCACACATGCAGTGGTGTGGTCTCCCATGGCCACTACTGGGGGTTGCAGGTTGTGACTTTGCAAGACCTGATGTGCTAGACAGCTGCTGAGCAGGAAGCCCTGTGTCTTGAGCCCCTTGGTCTATATTGAAGAAGTCTGGCCTTTTCCCTATGAGCTTGTGGTACCTCATGTTTCAGGAATAAGCAACATATCTCTTGAAACTGGAGAAAAACATGTCCTTCCTTTTACAGGCCATGCAGGCCACAGGGACCCAGCACTCAACAGACAGAACCCACAGGCATTAAGGGAGAGAGTGAAAAGAAGGGTGTCAAGGAAAGGGTGTCATCTTCTCCCCAGTTCCCTACAGTCAACTGAGCCCAAAGGACCAGCACCATCCAGGCTGGCAGCTCACAAATATATACGGCCCAGCCCTCTCTCTCCCAGAACCTCCCAAACACGATCGAGCCACCCAACCTTATGGACACCAGTGTTTGGGGCACCCATTCTCTCCTGCTTCTGTTTCCCGTCATTCTCCCTCAGAGTAGACTTGGGGTGTAGTCTTTCATTCATCCTACTGCAAAGCAGAAGGAGCCCAGACTCAGGTGCAGCCAGCCGAAGGTTCCTGCAGATTCTCCCTTCCTCCCTCAACAGCTCCCTCAAATTTATGAGACCGTGTGGATTCTGAGTTAGATTCAAGCAGATATCCTTCAACTACAGGAGGCACCTGTTAGAATGGTGGTCCATTTCCCAGCCACTTTCCTTCCCAGGCCTGCCCTCACCTCTGCCCCCAAGAGTAGCTTCAGGAAGCTGTGGCTTAGAGGGGCAGCAGTGGGAGCATGCCTTTCACCAAAGGCCCATGCTTTCCTTCCCAGTGCCCAGGCCAAGAACAGACCCTGCAACCTCTTTTCCAGAAGGAGCTGGGATCAGTGGGACAGACAGACACTATAGTGGCTCATTGCAAACAGAAATGAGGATGAGCCCCATTCCCAGAAGTCAGGGCCTGGCTTCATGGCCGTGTGCTGCCAGGGCTCCTAGGCACAGCAGGACCCCTGGTCTGCCTGCCAGTTCCCCACTGCTTGCTGACGGTCCCAGTGAGACTGGCCTCGAAGGACCTCATCACCTGACATCTGGCTCTGAGGCCAAAGGCACATGCTGTGTGTTTTTACAATCTTCCTGAGCAGATCATCAGTGTTTTGAAGACAAGCAATGAAAAGAATGTTAATGTGCAGTGAGCCTCTACTATGGACCAAGTTCTGTGCTACTTAATCATGACGCATCTATTTATTACCTGATTTTTTTCTTCTTTTGTTTTTTTCTTCTTCTGGTGGAGTTCAGAAGTTACTTCTTTCTCGGTGTTCAGGAGTGCTCCCAGTTGTGCTTTAGGGTCTCTTCCAGTGGTGCTCAGGGGACCTGACAATGCTAGGGACTTAGCCTGGGTCCCCCTCCCCATGCCCAGCACGCACTCTGCCCTTGGAGCTCTTTCTAGTTGGAGCCCCCACTTTTCAGGAGATGTTCTGGTACTCTGCTGGTGAGCAGGGGAGGCCTCCAGCATGGGCACTGTGAGTGGTCCTGGGCTCTGGTCTGGGCCATTTAAGAGAACAAAATTCAGGACAGTGATCTTTGACTGCATCCATCCTCTCCTTAGGTTCTCAGAGACGGAGGCTCATCCCAGCACTGTCCCTTGATACCCCCTCTCCTGTGAGGAAACCTGCCAATGGCTCCGGGGTCCGCTGGGTGGATGGCCCCTTACGCAGTGCCCAGAGGGGCCTGGGGGAGCCCTTTGAGATCAAAGTCTATGAGATTGATGATGTGGAACGGCTGCAGCGGCGACGAGGAGGCAACAATAAGGTAAGTCACCACCTGCCAACAGCAGGGTCTTAAGAGAGACTAGATGGTGGTGGTGTGTCCTGGAGTTGGGAAGGCTCAAATCACCGATGCTTCTCAGTGGGCTTCTGAGGTGAGGTGCTGCCCCCACGCCTGCTCAGGACTTTGGAAGCACCAGGATTTCTCCACCAAAATATCCCAGAGGCTCACAGGCTGGGGTACTGGTGCTTATGGGGCCCTTCTGGGTCCAGCTTGGAATGCAGTGAATGCAGCTGCCTTCAAAATTCACAAAATGCCCGTGACAGCACTGCCCCATGTGAGAACTGTCTGAACAGAACCGGAGCCCGGGCTTGCCCTTAGACTTCCGGGCCCGGCTGTGTGCATGTGTCCAGGCGCAGCATTCATGCCTTCTAGAAAGCCCTGTGAGCTGCATTTGAGCTGCAGGTCTCTCCTTCTTGTCTTACAGGAAGTCATGTGCTTCAACGCCAAACTGAAAATTCTGGAGCATCGTCAGCAGAGAATCGCTGAGGTCCGGGCCAAGTATGAGTGGCTGATGAAGGAGCTGGAGACAACCAAGCAGTACCTGATGCTGGATCCCAACAAGTGGCTCAGTGAATGTAAGTCCCGAGATCCACTTCTCACCGGGGCAAAACAACCCGGTGCTGGGGTGCTCACAGTGGTGCCAGGCTCCCCAGCCTGTGACCATTCACTGGGGAGAATAAAGCAGGACTTGAAGCTGTCCCCTCTGGGAATCAAATGGGAGGGGCAGCAGCAGTGAAAGGGAATGAGCATTGCTCTTGAGGAAGTATTCCTTCTGTTTCAGTCCAAAGCTCCTGAAAATGAGATTCTCCCCCTGCATGTGGCAAAAGATCACCCAGACATGAAGGCTGGATTACAAATCCACTCCTAGGCCACAAAATCACATTGCATATCTAGCCTGAAATAGACAAGAATTTATAGCACTTCTTTAGTAGGGAGGGGATGTGCAATCCCAGAAAAGCTGCACACAGAACCAGAAAGCAAGGAAAAACATTTTTCAGAAAAAAAAAATAACATTCACAATGTTATTTCCATTTAATAGAAAGCATAGGATGACAGTAACCATCTAATAACAATTCAGAACAATTTTGCTCTCTTTGAAAGACAGATTCAATTGTCTCTTATTTATTTGTTCCTAGCCATTCCATTTACCACAAAATAAAGCCCAAATTGGGTACCAGCTATTACAGTGCTGTGGGACCCTATGCACCAGGGTCTGTGGAATAAAGTACATTATTGGTGTTAAAATCCCTTTCCTTCTCTTTTCTGTTTGCCAGTTGTCAATCTTCTCCCCTTAGTCTCAGCCTCTCTGGCTCCCTCTCTTCATTACTTTTCCATCTATATCCTATAAACCTCTGGCTAGTGTTTCCTAGGGCTGGAAGGAAAGTGGGGAGAGCATGGCAGGCAGAAATAGGAGCATTAGGCATATGAAACATTGGTAGTGGGGCTGGAGAAACAGCCCAGTGGGTTGAATGAATGCTTTTCCTGGTCTCTAAGCACCACCAAAAGCAAATGATGAAGCCAGGAGTAACCCCTGAGCAACACCAAAATCCAAAAAGAGAGAAAGAGAAATATCGGTGAAATGATGCTTGATGAAAGTGACAGGATGTGTCTGCTTCCCAGCTCTCCATCACTTTTTTCCCCCTGAGATTGGGGTGATACCATCTCCCCTGACTCTCTCCTGGGTGCCTGTGAGGATGAAGTGCAAACCAGTCTGTTTCCTCCATGTAGAGTGGCTACCTCAGTGCCAATAGCTTCCATCAGGCAGATCCTGTGGATTCTGCCTTTACTACACGGGGCTGTGGAACTGGAGAAAAGTGTTCCACCTCCTGAGCCGGGGGTCTTCTTACATGACACAAGGGAAATGGTGGCGTAAGGGGACCCTACTACCCCAGGAGTGCTAGAAGAGTGATTAAGGGCCCACAGTACAGTTCCTTCCTGACCTCTGCTTACTGCTCCACCATGCCAGGCTCATCAGAGGGAGCCAGAGAGGCTGAGACTAAGGGGAGAAGATTGACAACTGACAGAAAATAGAAGGAAAGAAATTTTTAACACCAATAATGTACTTTATTCCACAGACCATCGTGCATGGGGTCCCATAACACTGTAATAGCTGGTACCCAATTTGGGTAGAAACTCTCAGTAACACATTCATTCTACTGCCTGGCCCACCTTGAGAATCTAAATCTGGCATCGTTGCTATTTCCTCAGGGGCAACAAAGTAGATAACCTCAGCAGGAGACATTTCAATGCACCCTACATGTGAGAGGCATCATGTTAGTTCCTATGTTAGCAGTGTGGACCAAGTCAGGGTGCTGGTTTCAAGGGTTTTTACATGGGCAGAAAATAACTCAATGATCATAGGAGCTCACCTGGTACTGTGGCAAACACATGGAGCTTCGTCCCCTTGGGCCTTCCTCCAGGGATGCCCTTTTCCTTCCTTCCTAATCCCTAAGTGTTTTAGCACTCCAGGGGTAACCTCTTAAGGCAGGTCTCTTTCATGTTTACTGCTTTTGTTAAAATTTTATTTCTGAGAACTGTTTCTGCCATAAGCAGTCTGAAAATTATTTTCATCTTACAAATTCAGATTTCCCCCCAGGATGGGAGCAGGCAGGTAGAAACATCAATACACACATGAGTAGTTGCTTCCGGGAAAGAGTGTCTTCCTCCTCGCCCTTGGACATGTCAGGAATCAGTGGTTTGCTTTTCTCTCCCCTTTAGCTGCTCTTCTGGGGGAACAAACACTGTCCATTCTTTGAACTCGCTTGGTGGTGCTGCTGCTTCCGAGTGACAGTAGAAGCCTCTAGTGTTAGCTCTATAAGTCAGTTGTTATATCCTTCAGTGCTGCAACTTCTGTCTGGTACTTTCTTTTGTTCTCTGTCTCTCCAATGATGTGCTCACAGTATCCTCACATCCTTCTGAATTTGGTGAGCATCCACGTTGTCATGTGGATGAATCCCTTTGAATTTCTCCTCAGATAGATGTCCTCACTCCGTTTCACTGAGGCATTTTTCTGGGGCTTGTACTATTTTTTTCATGTGGAACACAGACCTGTGTCTGCATTTTTTCCCACTCTCAATGCTCATTCCTGTCTTAGGGGAAACATACATGTGCCCTTTCCAGTTTATTTTTTTCTTTTTGGGTCATACCCTGCAATGCTCAGGGGTTATTCCTGCCTCTGCACTCAGGAATTACTCCTGGTAGTGCTCAGGGGACCATATGAGATGCTGGGAATCGAACCCAGGTCGGTCACATGCAAGGCAAACACCCTACCCGCTGTGTGCTATCACTCCAACCCCCCACCCCCGTCCAGTCTTGAAGAGTGACCCTCCTTGTCAGGTGACAGAAAACTCACTTTACCCTGCTTTTGATGGTCTCTTCAGCCTTTGTGGTTATTTAGGCCTCATAATTTGTTTTGTTTTGTTTTGTTTTGTTTTGGGGGTCGCATATGCATGTGTTCAGGGATTACTCCTGGCTCTTTGTTCAGAGATCACTCCTGGTGGTGATCACGGAATCAAATGTAGTGCTGGGGATTAAATTTGCCATATGCAAGGCAAGAACGAGCAAGAAACCTGCTGTCTCTCTCTGTATTATCTCTCCTGCCCCACTCTGTTATTCTTGATTCCCCCATCAGGCTATGCCAAACTGCTGTGCTCCTAAGTGAGACATCCCTTTGAGCCGCTACTTTCAAACTGTTGGAATCCAGAACTTCAAACCAGCTTTCAAAGCCTGTGCAAGTATTCAGGCCTAATCAGCCACATCTTAAAACCTGCTGGCCTCTAGAACCAATGACATGACAGTATCCTCTAGACCAGTGTTTCTCAACCTTTTTTGTTGTTTTTGTTTTGGAGCTTCACCCATCAGTACTCAAGGCTTATTCCTGCTCTGCACTCAAGGTTCACTCCTGGCAGGGCTCAGTGGATTTTGTGGGGGTGCCAGAGATCAAACCCTGGGTTGACCATATGTAAGATAAGCACCCTATCTGCCACACTATCTCTCGAATGTCTCAAAACATTTCTCTGGGACCTCCCCCCCCCCCATTTCAAAATATTTTCCCTCCCATGCTGCTCACCTCATAATATTGATCAGACCCCTTGATTTATGCCATACCCACCATTTATGTAGTTTTACCTGTGGCACCCTTGGAATATCCTAAGACCCACAAGAGGCCATCTGTCCCTTGGTTGAGAAACACTGCTTTAGGAGATAGTTGTGAGAAGTGGGGTTCTAGACAAGTGAGTAATCTCCTTTCTGTGAGACATAGCAGTGAATTAGGTCAAGGTGATGACAAAGATCATGTTCTCCAACCTGTAGGCCCCGCAGGGGTCCCCCAAAGCTGTGTCACTCAGTCAGGTTCTGTGGAGCCAGCACAGTGGGGCAGAGTTCTGAGAAGATATAGAGGTAAAACATGGCACCCACCGGTACTTTTGCCCAAGTTGAACATTCCAATAGAACTTATTCCCTGGCGTATGTTTTACGATTAGCTGATGGGTCTCCTTCGTATACAGTGCAGGCACTTTCCAACATTCTCCTTGCCTGCAGCCTCCTGGCTCAGTGAGTCTGTGGGCCTGACTTTAAGAGCCAACTCTGAAAGGGGACCTGGCTGCCTTTGGAGGTTTTCAAGAGTAAATGTTTTGGATGCCTGTTGGAGATGACATGGGCTGGGGTCCCTGATGTGCGCATGAGCCCTAATACCTCAGGGAGAACCCTCTGGGCATCATGATCAGGCTTGTGCCTCTCCAGCCTATTTCAGCATGAGCCTTTTGTTCCTTGTCGGGGGTGCTCTTCAGTTCTTTTCATACCCTGTTCCTTGAGAACGGTTCTGACTGTACTCATGTTTCTGGAATGGCCCAGGGAGAAGTGAACCCAGAATCTTGCTGAGCCACCATGTTGAACCCCCTCCTTTCAGGAATAAGTCACTGTCACTGTCCTCCTGTTGTTCATCGATTTGCTCGAGCAGGTCCAGTAACGTCTCCATTTTGAGACTTGTTGTTACTGTGTTTGGCATATCGAATACATCATGGGCAGCTTGCCAGACTTGCTGTGTGGGCGAGATACTCTCAGTAGCTTGCTGGGCTCTCCCAGAGGGGTGGAAGAATCGAACCCAGGTTGGTCCGGCTGGCCGCGTACAAGGCAAATGTCCTACCACTGTGCTATTGCTCCAGCCCAGAAATATATATATATATATATATATATATATATATACATATATATATATATATAACTTTTTGGGTCACACTCAGTGATGCTCAGGGTTTGCTCCTGGCTCTGCACTCCTGGTGGTGTTTGGGAGACCATATAGGATGCTGGGAATTGAACCCGGGTCGGCAGAGTGCAAGGCAAATGCCCTACCTGCTGTGCTATCGCTCTAGTCCTGTAAGTCATATTTTTATTTATTTTTTCTTTTTGTGTCACACCTGGTGATGCACAGGGGTTACTCCTGGCTCTGCACTCAGGAGTTACTCTTGGCTATGCTCCTATGGGATGCTGGGAATCGAACCCGGGTCAGCCGGGTGCAAGGCAAATGCCCTACCCGCTGTGCTATCTCTCCAGCCCCATGTAAGTCATATTTTTAATGGTGAATAAACAGAAGGTCACATGAAATCAGAAATACAGATTCTTAATTTATGCTCACTATTCCTTTGGTTTGCGTTAGAACTCACTTTTCCCTAGATTTAGGTAATGGATTTGCTCGAGTGGGCCCAGTAACGTCTCCATTGGAGACTTTGTTGTTACTGTGTCTGGCATATCGAATACTCTCGGTAGCTTGCCGGGCTCTCCGAGAGGGGCGGAGGAATCGAACTCGGGTCGACCATGTTGGCTACATGCAAGGCAGACGCCCTACCCGCTGTGCTATCGCTCCAGTCTTCTGCCCCCGCGTTGGGTGTTCCTCCCCGGAGCCTTGGAGGGGAGCGGGTTGAGCTTTCCTCCCCGCCCCGACCAGGGCTCCGGCAGCCGAAGACCTCCAGGACCAGCCACCACCATGCTGAGACCACTCTCCGCACACAGGAAGGTACTGGCAGAGGGACAAAGCCACGCGGGTTCCGGGGCCGAGACCTCCAAGCCTACTCGAATTGGAGTCGAGCATCTTCCACCCAGATCCTCCAAATTCCAGTAGGCGGGGGTCACACCCACCACCTGGCCCCCTGGCGCCGTGTAATCCCATCAGCGGCCAAGACTCAGAGACTATAAAATCCAGATTCCGGAACCGCACGGCCGCATTTGCGGCCGCGCGACATCTTATCAGAACTTTTTTTTATGACATCTTATTGTCTCATTACTACTTTGGAAAAACTTGCAGGCTATCGAATGTAGCCTGCCCACAGGGCAGAGTCTGGCAAACTCCCCGTGGCGTACCAAATATGCCAGATACCAGTAACAATGAAGGGTCTCTTTCTCCTAAATAGCCTTGAATATAATCTCAGGGCTAGGATGAAAGAGACGTTACTGGGGCCTGCTCGAGGCAATCGACGAATAATAGGTAATGGATTGAGAGATGGCAGAGAACTATGTGCACAGGGAGCCTCTTAGTTATTTTCTCTTATTTTTTTATTAGTCATGGGGCACATTTGCAGTGCTGGGGAAAGAAATGGTTATGTGGTGTGGGGGTGGAACCCATTGCCTAACACATACAAGGCAAGTTCTCTACCATTGAGTCTTATTCTCGGGCCCTCTTTTTATTTTCATTTTTTAAAATGTCACCTTTGCAGGGGTGGGGGAACATTCAGTGGTGTTCAAGGCTTACTTATGGCTCTGCATCCAGGGATCTGTCCTGAACGTGTACAAAAGACTCTCTGTGGTGCCTGGAATAGAATTGAAGTTGGTCACGTTCAAGTCTTGTGCCTTAACCTCTGTGCTATCTCTCCATCCCTTGGTGTCACTCCTGAGGAAGTCCAGTAATGGAAGGCATATGAGGTGATGGTGGGAAGTCAATAGTTTTTCAAATATTCAGGGACCCTCCATCCCACTCCCAGCCCAACTCCTCAGTAACTACTGCCAGTCACACTGTAAGTCAGGGAAAGCCCCTTGCATCTCTCCCCGCAGCAGTCCTCCCACCTTATAAAGAAGTCAGCCTCAGCTATAATCCCTCTTGTCTCTGAAGCTCTTCTCAAACCACATTCCCACCCTTGTCTAGTAACTACTTTAATCTTTATGACAACTCTGTTAAGTGGGCCGAGCATCGTGGCAATCCAGCTTTACTTTAGGGAACCTGTGCCCATGGAAGCTGTTGGGGCTGAGCTGGGGCCTCATTAGTAGCAAGAGCTGTTTGAGTCTCCTGCCTTGGATTCCAGGGCCAGCCTCCTGCTGACTGCTGTCCCATCCATCTTCTCTGTGCCGTATTTCCTGGGAACAGAGCCAGGAAACCCTTCCTCAGTCATCCTTTCTCAGTCACCCCTGCATTTGTGGGCATCCACGACCAGGAGGGGACAGTCCCTTATCACTGCTCTTTAGGAATGAAATGAAGCAGTTTTTGCTTCATGCAAGCTTGAAAATTTGGTAACGTCCACGTGCCCCAGATTTCAGCATGTGTTCAGAGTGCAAAGACTTCTCAATAGTAATGTAGGTCTGACCACCATCCTGGTGCCTGAGTGACCAGTGAGTGTCACAAAGTGATGAAGACATGCTGAGAGATCAGAACTCACTGCTGGCTTCAAAAGGCAGCTGCCCTGAGTGACACTGAGGAAGGAACAGAGAGGCCCAAACTTCATAGGAGTCTGGGCTATAAATGAGGGAGTGGACTACTGTAGTCTGCAGATTCCTATTAGAGTAACGAGGCTCTGTTAGTAATTCCCAATATTGTGACTGAAGGTTTGCAGTAGAATGTTAATAATCAGGAAAAAAAGGAGAAAAAAGAAACAAATGGGCTGGAGCAATAACACAGTGGGTAGGGTATTTGCCTTGCATGAGTCTGACCCGGGTTCAATTCCCAACATCCCTTATGGTCCCCCAAGCACCACCAGGAGTGATTCCTGAGTGCAGAGCCAGGAGTAACCCCTGAGCATCGCTGGGTATGACCCAAAAAGCAAAAAAAAAAAAAAAAAAAAAAAAAAAAAAAAAAAAGAAGAAGCAAACAAAAATAAAATGCTGGGGATCAACACTGATGATTAGAACCACAGGTCATGTTTTTGATTGCTAGTAGCAAACAGTGCCCCTCTCTCCACCAGAGGGGACACAGGACTCAGGCAGTGGAGTCTCCCAGCCACGACTTCTGGACTCAGGGCTGGGTGCAAATGCAGGGGCCATAGCTCTGGGCTGAGTGGAGTAGTAGGTCATACCTGCTTCCTGTCCCGTTTCCCCATCAGTCTTCTCTTTCTTTACAGTTGATTTGGAGCAGGTTTTGGAACTGGATTCCCTGGAGTACCTGGAAGCGCTGGAGTGTGTGACAGAGCGCCTGGAGAACCGTGTCAACTTCTGCAAGGCTCACCTCATGATGATTACCTGCTTTGACATCACCTCCAGGCGCCGGTGAACAGAGCCCCCGCCCCCACCCCCTCCCTCCCAGGACTCCCGTCCAGGCCCACTCTCAAGGGCCTTGCATGCGGGACTGGTGGCTCTCAAAGACAACGCAAGGAGGAAGAAGGTTGGTGGCAAGTCCAGAGTGAGTGTGGAGCGGAAGGAGGTCTTTTTTCTTTTGTTTCCTGTAGGAAAGGTACAACACCAAACATGCATGGGAGAAGATGATGGAAAACCCAAGGAATGGAGAAGCCCCGTGAGACTGAAAAAGCACTTTGAGGAACTTTCAAGAACATGTTTGTACATAAGAACTGCTGGCAAAAGGGACCTCCCTCTTCTTGCAGTTTTGTGAGAAGGGGGGAGGGGTGGACACAGGATTGATGTTGAAAGCTACAACAAACAACCACAAAAAATTTTATCCAGAATGACTGATTAAGTGCCTTTCAAATCTTTATTATTATCCAAACATTTATGTTCATACTTTCTTGTGTACAGATGGTGCTAGTCAAGATGAAAATAACAACAAACAAAAATGAAACTCAGACACATTTTTGAAATGTATTTACAGCTCATGTTCTCTTGGTGTCTTATTCTATTTCTGACTTGCTGTTTCTGAGTAAGTTGTGTTTGTAGCACTATTTCCTAATCAGTATTGCATATAAATAAATGTTGTCTTTTACGGTTACTCTGGTAAGGCCACTCAAACAAAACACAGACACTTCATAGACATGAAATGGCATGTTCCAGAAGGTTGGAGCAGCAGGTGATACTGGGTGCCACCTGTGACATGTGGCACAGGCAGGGGGATGGGAAGGTTGGTAACAGAACAGTTGCACAAATTTGAGGAAGCTGGAAAGGATACTGGGGATTGTGTCCTGGAGGGGAAAGGAGCTCAGGAGACCTGGGCCCTTCCTTCTTCAACTGTGTTATTTGTTCATCTGTGTGACCCCCCTACAAGTCCTGACATACATGCTGATTCCTTTGCCATTAACCTCAGGCTTTCCATAGCCCTCATTGTTTAAATTGAGTTCTCTTCCAAAGACTGGAGTGAAGTCCTCAACCAATTCCGGAGAGCTGTCTTTGATTGTTTGCTTGGTTTGGGTTTTTTTTAGGGCCACATTTGGCAGTGTGCAGGGCTTACTTCTGGCTCTGCACTCAGGAATTACTCATGGTGGTGCTCAGGGTACCACATGGGATGCTGAGGATTGAACCCAAGTAAGTTGCGTGTAAGGCAAGCTCCCTACCCTCTGTACTATCACTCCAGCCCTGTTTGTTTGGGCTTTATTTTGATCTGTACTTTTGTGATTATGTAAAAGAAGGGGACCTGTACCTGTTTGGAAACTTTCTCAGGCACGTGTCTGCAGAGGTACAGCAGCATGATTGGTTAGAGCAAGAAAGGATGTTGGGATTACCCAAATGCATCTAGTGTCTATCAAACTACATAAGAAGTTTTTGTCTTCCCATGACCCAGTGTCAAGAGAGGACAAGTTTGTCCTTTCAGCCTTGTCACAGGAAAGCAGAGAGGCGAGGTGTCCTGTTGTGTATAGTGCAGCCCTAGACAGACTGGGAATGTGGACAGATTGATGGGTCTTGACTCCCAGAAACAAAGGACTCTTCTCAAATTTAGATGGTCTTTCCTACCAGGTTCCTTTTGTGCCTTTGCCGATGGAAACTAAAGCACATAGTCATGACGGGATTGTATGGCAGCAGGCAGCAGGGTATTCTTCTACCTTATAACTCTGGACCCAGGCCTCCAGCCTTTATGCTGATGCAGGTGTATGGGGCTATGTAGTGTACTATTCCAGGATAGGCAGTCTCCTCCACTTTTATTATTTGCCTGCAAAAAAATGAACCCTCTCAGCCTACCTTTAAAAGCAAGGAGCTCAGTCAATGTTCAGTCAATAGGAAGTGAAGTTTCATAAACTTCCTAGAACCAGATCCTTCACTAATAGAAACCAGAAGTCAGCCCCATGGATTCATTAATGACAAGCTCATCTTTGCATATTCCTATGCAAAGTTGTGCATGGAAATCATTCTCACCTCTGAGAATTGAATAGGCTAAACTAGGGTGGATTATTGCTCCAGAATAAGTCGTTGACTCGCCTTGTTCAACAGTGTGTTGGTTCTATTGGGAGGCAGAGGCTCCCCTAGATCCTCAACCTTAATCTACTTCTTCTGGGCAGCTCTTTGACTCTGGACATTCCTCTGTCCCAGAAGTTGTACAAATGGGCTTCAGTGCTTAACATTTGGGGCTTAATATAAATGGGCTTACCATTTTGGAAGTTTCTGAACTCCAAGGGAAGTTCTTATTTTAAGACTGAGTTTTCCATTTAACATTGCTTTTAGTTAGGAAGAAAGAACTTTGTGGAAAGTTTTAATGTTAGGATGTCAATGGTTAGGTAGTCTATTATTTGCTGAAAGAAACTTCACTTTATTACTAACTAGTGGTCTTAGCTTCTACCCCTGGGACGTCTGCCTGAGTTCCCAAGTCACCACTGTGTGCTGATGTACTTAAGCCAGCATTGGTGTCTTTGCTGGAATGACACTGGGTTGAAACATCTGCAGAGATGTGAAGTTTCAACCAGTGGAATCTTTCCCAAGAGAATAGCCTTCAGCTTACCTCCTGCACAGAATGGCAGATGCTATATGAGATAGGAAATGGGCAGAACAAAAGCAAGCACTATCTTTCCAAGTCAGATGGGTTTCCCAAGAAACAACACCATGGAACATCTCACAGGTCACTGTTGGCCTTGGTGTAGACCAGCTTGGCGTGGAGTCTATCCATTCTGATTTGTTTTTTACCTCCCCTTTAAAAAAGTAGGTAAGCGGTCAGCATCTTCATGTAGCACATATTGGTTACCCATTAGAGAGTGAATCGTGTGAGTTTCCGCTACTGCCTCTGAGTTGGCTCCATATGCGATAGTCTCTAGGCACAAAGGAAGCTGGTCTCACTAACTCCCCTGAGGAAGTCCCAATAATACAACCATTAGATTTGAGACATACCCTAACTTTTGGTTTTGCTGGCAGGTAACTCAGAAAGATAAAAGAAGTGTGGGAGAATACATGTCTGTTTCATTATTCTCACAAGGGAAAAACCAGAAAAAATGAAGAGTATTGAGAATTATCCCTGCTTCCTTCCCTGAAATATACCTCCCTCTCCAAAGACTTTACTGAGGATACAGAGGCAAAAGAACAACATTCAGATCCAGAAAAGGAAATAATGATATTGTTTTCCGGGAATAAATCTCTATCGCATTGCATGATGGGCTCTCCTGCTGTGCTGGAGTGGTAGTTTGCTTTGTCCTGGGCTTTCCCTCCCCACCTGAGAGCTGCAACCTTTGGGCCTGTCCTTGAATTCCCTCTCGTCACGGGGAAGCTATTGCTAACTTTCATCTCTTCACATTTGAGAGCAGAACACTCTTTCTGTTGTTTTATCTCCAATTGCTATTCCGAACACGAGGAACTTGAGATGCAAAAGCAGAGGTCAGTGTAGTGTTGACACAGGTGGGGATCATACAGGAGACCCCAAGCTGAGGAGGGGAGGGAAGCTGGTTTGATAAAAAGCCATGCAGGCCTGCCCAGAGAGCTCTGCCAGCAGGAGGCCAGCCTAGTTTGTCATAAATTAGCTTTAGGTTTGAAGTCTGGTCCTTGCAAGGCAGCAGTGTAGCCACGAATATCATCCAGGGAGATGGTTCCCCCAAATCTGACACACACATGCACACCACATGCTAGTTATTGTATTTCTGTTTGTTGAGCAGACAGACAGACATTTTTCTTTAGATGCTAGTGCTGCTCGTGAATTGTGGTTCACTCATAAACCTTATCACAGGTGTCACTGTTGGAAAACAACCATGTGAGCTGGGTTGCTTGGACTGACAAAGATAAGCCATGCTCGATTTGCTAACCGTCAACTCATTTGGTGATGGGATCTGTCATCAAGCTTCCAAAATAATGATGTATTGAATGTTTATTTTTTTAAGTTCCTTATTCCAAAAGAAGTTCAGGCTGTCAAACAAATGACTCAAGATAAGTCCATGTCAAAATTGCAACCAGAAGATCATGAATTTACTTATTATTCTTTTCTGCATCTATGGAAAGCCTGAATGCATGCTAGTAGGAAATAAGTAAAGAGTGCTAAGAAGAACTAATTATGCTAAGTGAATGTGTGGTTCCCACTGTCACCTGTGTTCCCTGCACCCCTGAGTCCTGTGGTCCAGCTTTCCATAAAAAAGGGGCCCAAGCCAAGGGTGCCACACAGGCGCCTGAGTAAAGCTAGCATTGTCCACTCTTCTCAGTGCCAATCAAACAAAACTGTAACAAAGATTCTTTTCCCCAGACATCGGCAATATAGTCTATTTTTTTTCTGTTGTGGAGGGGAAGGTTGAGAGAAAGGTGGTAGAAATGCAATATTCCTTTGTATTATCATGTTGTTTTCCTTTCCAGCTGTCAATATTTTTGGGTAAAATCACATACACTATGTCACTTGGCAATATTTGACCAAAAAATATTTTTTTAACAAAAAATTTAGGCTGCTCATTATTTCCAGGTTAAAAGTGTAATTTCAATCCAGAAGACAATCTTGTAACTCAAGCTCATCTAAAAAAAGAAAAGAATAAACTTGTAAGCTACTTTATCCATTCCTAAACAAAATTTCCTGCTTTTGGGTGGCCCTACACAGAACCAGAGATGATGTTATACTGTTGGAAAAGGAGTATATTTGAGGCAATATCAAGCTTTTGTTGCATATGATTAATCTTCTCTCCATAATGTTCCCAGTACCCATGTGTGTAGGAGTGAGTGCTGAAGTACTGGCACTCAGACAACTATTTTATGTAGTCTTAGAAATTCAACCTTCAGCTTGAAAAGGCTTATTTCTTCCTTCTCTGTGATGATAATGAGTGTCTCACACACCATCATACTCGATTGATGAAGTTATAATTTATTTGTAAACTCAGGATATTCTTTTATAACATTGATTGTGTTTTATAATTTATTTGTACATCATGTTTGGAAATGCTATACAAGTCTATGCATTGAAGTGTAAGTTTGTGGGTCTGTCTGTGGCACTCTCCACCCTCACTCTAGTGAGGTCTGTTAGTGGAGACGTGGGCCCTGAAGGGGAAAGATAAACAAGTCAGAATAACTAAGATTAGGGTCCAGTCTTCGATTTAGTCTTAGTTCAAAATCTAAGCTTTTCTATGGCAATTCACTAAGGGGGTCAAAGGTCCCTTCATTTTGAATTTTATGACAATGAACATGAAAATCCGCCTCTGTGGGCCTGGTGGAAGAGGCACTGGTTTCTCACTGCTGGTTTAACACTGAATTTCTGGGGAAAAAATGTGGACAGTACTAAGTCCCTACATTATTCAGCCACCTCCAGTGCTACTGAAGGAGGTTTGGAAAAGCAACTAGAGTTTCCTACCTTGGATATATATAGTACCTGTTTCTTCTAGAGAAACCAAAGCACTTTAGTGACTCTTGGAATCTGTAATTCTTAAGGCATCTTGTCCCCTCACTGAATCCCTGGGAGACAGGGAGGGGCTGGGGTCAGTAGTCTCATTTGAGAGGCAGCTAGGAGAAAAAGCCTTGAGCTGGGGGTTGGGAACCCTGTCACTAGGCCTGGTTTCTCACTCTCTGGGAAATGTTGGGCAAATCGCTTCAGCTTGCTGGGCCTCAGACTCCCGGGTGAAAGACTGGGGGTTGTAACTGCTGCCCTTCTGAAGGAGTATGAAGAGAAAATGACATAATTGATGGGAAGTGCTTTGGCAAATGTAATGCTCTGTCTAGGAGCTGGGAATAATCATTTGTAGATGATTTAGCTGAAGTCCAGATCATGATTGGCCCAACTTCATAGAGCAGTTTTATAGCAGAACTGGGACTTAAGTCCAGTATCTTGGACCTTCCCAGGTGGTACAGTCATACCCAGTGTGTGTGTGTGTGTGTATGTGAACACATATCACACCTATACTGACGTGTGTACACAGGATGTAGAGGGATGCATGTGTACAGAAGGTATGTGACATGGTGCAAGAGCATAGAATGGAAAA